CCCCCCCGCAGCAACACAGTATGACGTCATCGACCGACAAACAACTGCCAACCGGAACAGACAATTTCGTTGACATTCTACGTGAAACACCCAGTGTTACACCAGGTGTGGCTGCCTTAGCACCAACCACTGACCACACGAAACAAACTAGACTACATCCGTCGATTCGACTACCCTCGGCCTGCCACACCGCTGCCGCACAAAAATCACGAGGTCCCCGCACATGGTACGTAAGAAACATATGACACCGCTGCCGCAAAGAGCGCCAAGTTCCCACACGACACGTACGACACGTATGACACCGCCGCTGCAAACCAAAATCAATAAATCTCCACACGGTACGTACAACATATCACCGTTCACCGTTCCTTGTCTCACCATTCCACGGTCGTCTTCCACTCTCCCCGCCTTGCGGCGCGAAACTGCCGAGGCGGGGACAACAACACAGCCGCCGCCGCCCTCATCCGCCGCAACGCCGTTAGCCACTGCGGCCTTCTTGCTGCTACCACCTCCGCCGGACGAGGAAGAAGATGCCCTCTTCTTTTTCCTGCCGGAGGAAGCCCCTTTCTCGGGGGAATCGCGCCTCGAGGAACGAGCCCCAGCAACGCCTTTGGCAGCGGAAACCCTGGCCCCCCCACCCGCGGCCGCCGCCGCCGCGGGGCCTCGGGCTGCCGGGGTCGGGGGCGTGACGATCACGGTGCCTCTGCCGGCGCCGGTAGCAGTAGCAGCAGATTGAGATGACGAGGACGAGGACGACGGACGAGCGGTAGTGGGGGAGGAATGGGACGGGGGAAGGAGGAGATCTCGGACCTCTTCCTCAGGGAGGTCCTCGGAGTCGCCGTCGGTGTACTCCTGCCATGCCACGCCGAACAAAACAAAACAAACGCAACGTGTCATTTTGGTCGGTTGGCATACACTGGGCCTCAAGCTAGCTCGGTCGGGGGGGGAGGGGGCGACCAAACTTCGATTTATGGGTTTGTGTGGCCTAGCTGCCTGCCACACAGAGGCCAGTGAAGCAAGACCGCGCGGTTTTTGTACATAGTGTTTCCGTTGTGAACGGAATGGTATCGGAGAAGCAGAGAAGACGAAGACGAGAGGGGACACAACGCATGAAAAAATAAGAGCCCTCACGTCCAGCAGCTACCACCTCACCTGCGCTCTCGATGTACGATGGATAGATTCATGGGAGTCCACCATTGTGGAAGAATTTTCAGCGAAGGATGCGCAGGTTCAAAAGGGACAGCAGGTAAACGGGGGGTCGATGCGAGCACACCTTGACCAGACGTGCAGATATACCCAAAACTAGTGTCAAAAAAACAGTGTTTGCTCTACTCACCACGCGGACCAGCAGAGCGTCCCCGTCCGGCCGGTGGCAGAAGGCCACCTTCCCCTCCAGGAGCCCGAAAGGGAACTCCTTGCGCACGGCGCGTCCCACCAATTCCCCGTCCCCCTCCCCCTCCTCCGAACAAAAGTCGCCTTCCCTGTCGGCGTGCGCCATCTTCTGGTATGAAATGAGATGGGGTGAACCAGCCGGCTTGCTCTTTCCCGCTATGCAGATCAACGCCGCCTGCGATCAGCGCTTCGTTCCTAACGAAGACTACCGTGTTTTCAGCCGCGCGTCCACCGAATCTTGGGGCGAGCTGCGCTTGTCCCTACCGCCGTTGGGTATCTAGGATGCGCCACTTGCTGAGGGNTCCCCCCCCCCGCTGCATAAGGGTAAGCACGTGGATCGGGCGGGGAGTGAGTTGAGCCCAGGGCCCATAGGCAGGGCCAAAAAAGTGAAAAACGACGCAATTTTATTGGTCAACAGCACATCCCGAGATGAAAAACGACCCCGAGACCATGAAAAACGACGACCTGTGATTGGGCCAAAGCACCCGAATTTGGCCGCTGCCGCCGAGACACATGACAACCCTTGATGACAACACCCAACACATACCACAACGAAAAGCACAACAGCCCTCCCACCCAGCAACCGTGGAGCCAGCGCTCCCCATGGGTCAACACCCAAGGATGGCGCACAACAAGCGGGTCGGAAAAAAAATGCGGAGAGGGAGAGGATAGCTGCGCAGCAGAAGAACCTGGCGGCCGCGTTCGCAAGGATGCTTTCCCGGCACCCGCCAGCCCACCCCTCATCAAAGCGGCCACGGGAGAGTGAAGACCATAGTGGCGAGGGAAGCAGTGCGGATGCCAGAAGCGCGTCATCCGCCGGCGATGTCGACGTTAGTGGGGGTTCTGGTGGTTCATCAAGCACGGCGGCACCAACCATAGGCGAGTCCACTCCACCTCCCGCCGGTACGCAACAGCAGTCGCCTCCTCGTTTGGACGATGAGGGTGACCACTCTCGAGTAGATGGAGAAGAAGCTCGGGCACCACCATTCTTAGCCGTAGGAGAAGGATCCGCAACAGCACCAACAGAGCTCGTAACAACAACAACAACAACAACAGCAGCAGCAGCAGCAGCAGCAGCAGCAGTGGCGGCGGTACCCGTCCCGCACCCTCCCAGCAAAGGCAAGGGTAAAGCCCGTGCTCATGAAGCCTCCCAAGCACGCGGGGGGGCAGCTCCAGCAGAGCTATCCTCTCAAGTGGGTGAGGGGTCAGTACCAGCATCAACAGCACTGGCAGTATCAGCGGCACCAGAGGCCGCAACAGGGGCAGCAACACCGGCACAACTCGCAGCAGCAGCAGCGGAAGTAGCCGCCGCCGCGGGGGCGGCAGCGGCGAGACCAACAGCAAGCGGAGGTCACGACCGCGGAGCGCGCCAACAAGGACGAGGAGGGGGGCTGAGCGGCCGTGGAGGAGGTAGAGGAGGGGGGATGAGCGGCCGTGGGGGAGGTGGAGGAGGGGGGCGAGGGGCAGCAGCGCCAGGTCGTGGAGCAGGAGGAGGTGGGGCTGGAAGAGCCGCTGGTGGAGGGGCCTGCGATGATGATACTTCAACATCCAGTGCGCAGGAACGCTTCTTTGAAGAAGTGAAGGACAAGATCGACCGGAGTATCACCCACGAGGGAGGTGGTATGAAAGGCCGGTTCCCGTTTGACAACCCGCTCGTGCGTCCGAAGTGTGCTACTTTTCGNAGGGAGGTGGTGTGAAAGGCCGGTTCCCGTTTGACAACCCGCTCGTGCGTCCGAAGTGTGCCACTTTTCAGCCATCACCAGGTACGCCAGAGGAGTTGTTTTTTTTGGGGGGGGGGTAAATAGCTGCCTATCTATCTTTCTTTTCAGATTAAATCGTCCAGGGAAAATACATCCCATCCCCCGGTAGGCCATTTTTTTTGTCTCGCGTGCCTGATGTTCTGACATATCTACCTCACATTTACGCGCGCCCAGACCTACCGAAACTCGACCGGTTTTATCAGAAGGCGGTGTTGGTATGGATACCGGAGTTCTTGTTCCCAGAGCTCCAGGCAGTTCCTTGTCCAGGATGTGGGGGCAAGGGCGCACCTGATGGCTGGAACCCTAAGGGGCCACGCCGGGTGTTCATGGAGCACGACGTGGCGTACGTGATGGGGTTTCGGTAAGTTCAGCATGCGAAGAAGAGTGTTCGCTCGATAAACTTCATCAGTCATGTTTTCGTGGCATCCGACGAATTCTGGTTTCTGGTAGATTGGAGTTCGTGTTGTGGTTTTCCGACGATATTGCTCGTGGTGTATGTTTTCTCCCATGCACGTGCAGGTACAAGTGTGCGAAGTGCGCGGAGTTCAATAAAGGCAAGCAGGAGGCGGAAAAGCGCAAGACGAGCTTCAACGCGTGGGGTGCTGGGTGCCTCCGGCGTCTCCCGGAGTACATCTCAAGGAGTTCCCTTTCCTTCTCACCAAGCGATCGGGCATTGAGATTTGCATGGTGGACCGGCTTGCAGATGATTTGGTGTATGGGAAGGGCTTCTCCGCTGCTGCCAAGAACATTCGTCAGGTGAATATGCAGTGTCTCATCTGCAGCGTCCTACGATTACGGGTTGGTCTGGTCTGGGCTTTCCTAGCCTGTTCAAAACCTTTGCGGATGGTACCGCAAACGTTACTGCGGTAAATGTCGCNTGTCTCATCTGCAGCGTCTTAAGATAACGGGTTGGTCTGGTCTTGGCTTTCCTAGCCTGTTCAAAACATTTGCGGATGGTACCGCAAACGTTGCTGCGGGAAACGTCGAATCTCATAAGCGCCGACCCGTGCTACAACGAAAACGTGTCGCCCTCGCAATGCTGTTGCAGGCGCATACGACCAAGTTCATGGTGGACCAGCTGAAGTACACCTCTCTGGTCAACACCCGGCGGACCAGCTCGGGCATCTTCCGCTCGGCCACCTCGCCAAAACTCCCGAGAGGTTCGACAGCTTTGATGACTCGGCAAAGTACGGCGGTGCGGTCCCGTCGGAGCACTATTTGCGGGACGTG